AACTGGCTCTCCATGGGTAAATAGAATTGCAATTTACTGGGAGCAGAAGCCATTGGATCTAAACATTAAACAGTAATTGACTATTTCTGGATGTGGAGCCTGGACTAACTTGAGATTTAAAACCTCCTGGGGGAAAAATGAATGAATGAATAAAAATAAAAACTTCTGGGGGCCCACTCTTAGGTGGATGCCCCCGCTCTAAGGGTGCCCCCACCAGGTTCTCTCTGGTTGAGAAAAAAATTCTCTCATATTTTGGGCTGGAAAACAAGGAAAGTAACCATTTTGAAATATGCCCCAGAGAAGTCTACTCTTGGTAACAAAAGCCTGCCCTCTAGGGGAACTACCGGAGTTTCCCCAACCAAACTTTAGAAGGGAGGGCAACTAGACAAGTCAATCCTTCTGCGACCTTCTCATCTGACATAAAGGAAAGAAAAAAAAAAAAATAAGCTAAGCAAAACTTATGAAGGTCACAGCCTAGAGACTCAGGCCCACTAAAAAAAAACAACCTGGTAAAGTTTAAGATTTAATCATAAGATTATAGAATGCTTTCTCTCTACAACACCACCATATCTAGTATAATGACAGATAATTACAACTGAAAGTGATGCAAGACACATGCTATTAATAGTTTCTAGGGAAATCCAAAGACAATAGGGAAGATAAAATGTGGATACCATAGAAAATTGAAGCCTCTGACACATGCAATTACAACATACTTTAAACAGTCTAACCCTAGACAGATAAACATAAAACCTCACAATAAAGACCTATTTACCTGTGTTCTTATTATCTGATACATAATGTCTGGCTTTCAACAAAAACTACAAGGAATCAGAACTAGATTCAGGTATGACAGAGATTTTGGAATGATCAGACTAGGAACATAAAATAAGTATGATTAGAATGCTAAGGGCTCTAATGGAAAAAGTGGACAATAAGAAAGAAAAGATAGATAATATAAATATATAAATAGAAACTCTAAGGAAAAAAATAAAAAATAAGTCCCAGAAAACAAAAACACTAAATACTAGAACACAAATGAAGAATCCCTTTCTTGGGCTCATTAGTAGACTGGACAAGACTGAGAAAAGTATCAAGGACTTTGAAGATATGTCAACAGAAACTTCTCAAACTGAAAAACAATGAAAAAGAGAATGAAAAACAAAACAAAACAAAAAACTGGAACAGAACACCCAAGAACTGTGCAGCAATTTCAAAGACATAACAGATCTGTAGTGGAAACACCAGAAGAATAAAGAAAGAAAGGAACAGAAGAAATAAGTGAAGTAATAATGACTGAGAATTTTCCAGAATGACAGATACCAAACCACAGACCTTGGAAGTGCAGAAAACAAGGTGGACAAATATAAAAATAATCTACACCTAAGCATATCTTATTTAAACTGCAGAATCAAAAACAAAGACAAAATCTTGGAAGAAGCCAGAGGAAATAAACTTACCCAGAGAGGATCAGGGATAATTTACAACAGACTTCACAAACCAGGCAAGTAAGAAGAGAGTGGAATGAAATTATTAAATGGTTGAAGAAAAAAAAAAAAAAAACTCATTAATCTAGAATGCTGTGTGCAATGAAACTATCCTTTAAAAGTAAAGGATAAATAAAGATGTTCTCAGACAAACAAAAAATGAGGAAATTGTCACCAGTAAATCTGCTTTGCAAGCAATGTTTAAAGAAATTCTTCAGAAGAAAAGAAAAATGAGATGAATCAGAAATTTGAATCCACACAAAGAGCATTAAGAGATAAGTAAATGAAGATAAAATATTCTTTTGTTTTCTTATTTTAAATTGGCATAATAGATACTCTTCGTTCAAAACAATAATGGCAATAGAGTGTTCAGCGATTATAGTTTATGGATAGTGAAATGAGTGATAGCAATCTTATAAAGGGGGAGGGAAGAATTAGGACTACTTTAAGATAACTGCACTGCCCATGAAGTACTGTAGTGTTATTTGAAAGCACTTAAATGACTTGTAAATGTATATTGGGAATTCTAGGGAAACCACTCAAACATTTTTAAAAAGAAGTATAACTGCTATGCTAACAGATAAGAGAATATGAAATCTCATAAAACAGTCAGTTAAAATCAGAGAAGGCAGAAAAAGAGGGAAAGATGGGAACAAGAAAGAAAGCATGAAAGAAAGCATGTTCATAGTAGTCTCATAACTTTTATATTTTTGTTGTATCATTTGTAACATCTCCTCTTACATTTATAATTTCATTTATTTGAGCCTTTTGTTTTCATGTCAAATCTAGCTAAAGGTTTGTCTATTTTGTTTATTGTTTCAAAAAACTAGCTTTTAGTTTCATTGATCTTTCTATTGTATTAGTCTCTATTTTCATTTTGATTTTTATTTCCTTCTGCTAAATTTGGGCTTAGTTCCTTTTCTAGTTTCTTGAGGTATAAAGTTAGGTTATTTATTTGAGATCTCTTTTTTCTTAATGTAGGTATTTATTGCTATGAAATTCTCTCTTAGAATTGCTTTTGCTGCATCCCATGGGTTTTGGTACATTTCCATTTCCATGTATCTCAAGGTATTTTTTGATTTCTTTTATGACCCATTGGTTGTTCAGTAGCATGTTGTTTAATCTTCACACATTTGTGAATTTTTTATTTTTCTTGTAAGTGATTTCTAGTTTCATACCATTGTGGTTAGAAAAGATATTTGATATGATTCAATTTAAAATGTATTAAGAGTTGTTTTGTGGCCTAACATATGATCTATCCTGGAGATTATTTCATGTGCATTTGAGAATATATTTTGCTGCTGTTCGATGGGCTGTCTTACAAATATCAGTTAAGTACATCTGGTCTAACATGTAGTTTAGGTTCAAGTTTCCTAGCAGGTTTTTCTGTCTGGATAATTTATCTGTTGCTGAAAGTGGGTATTGAAGTCCTCTAGTATTATTGTATTGCTGTCTATTTATCTC